GACACACAGAATGGCATCTCTCTGCCTTGGTGCCTCATTGATGAGGTGTTTTAAAGTAACCTACAACTTGAGCACATGCTTAACTTGCAGGGCAATCTAGGGTAACCTACAACAGCAGTGATAAATATCAGACTAAGCAAACCACAAAGACTTGCATCCCTAAGCCAAAACAGCAGTCCCAATATTGAGTGCAAGCTATAGCAGCCACTGACCTCACCTAAAAAGCCAGATGGCCAGTGAGAGAGGTGACTCAGATGCATTACAGCAAACCAGCTTATTCCCATTTCACGGGCACTGAACAAACTACGGCAGGACGGTCTGAATCCTTTTGACAGCAGAGAGTTTAGTGACAACTTTTCCCAGGGCCTCTTTGACCTCTCTGTTCCTCAGGCTGTATATGAGGGGGTTGACCATGGGAGTCACGACTGTGTAGAAGAGGGAGAACACTTTGTTTAGGTCTCTCAGTGTATCAGTTTTTGGGAGCAGGTACACAATCATTATGGTCCCATAGAAAATTGACACCACGATGAGGTGAGAGGAGCAAGTGGAAAAGGCCTTTTGCCACCCGGTGGTGGAAGGCATTCGCAGGATGGTGGTGATGATACAGACGTATGTTGCCAGCGTTAATAGAAATGGCGGGAGAGTGCATATAGCAGCCAGCATGGTAGTGACAAGCTCCATCATACGTGTGTCACTGCAGGAGAGTTTTATTACTGGGATGAAGTCACAGAAGAAATGGTCAATTTCATTGGGGCCGCAGAAAGTCAATTGTTGCATTAAAAATATTGTTATGTCAGCAGCCAGAGAACTACTTATCCACGTGCCAACTGCTAGTTGGAGGCAGGACCTGCCATTCATAAGGACAGCATAGTGCAGTGGTTTGCATATCGCTAAATACCGATCATAAGACATCACTGCCAGGAGATAGCACTCTGCAGCTGCCAGGAAACCAAAGAAATAATATTGTGTGAGGCAGCCGCTAACAGAAATAGTTCTGTCCCCAGTCAGGAGACTGGCCAGCATCCTGGGCAGGATAGTGGAGGTGTAGCAGGTCTCCAAGCAGGACAAGTTCCCCAGGAAGAAGTACATGGGGGTGTGAAGTTGCTGATCAGCCACAACTAGCACAATGATGAGGATGTTCCCAATCACAGTCACAATGTAGATGATGAGAAACAGGAGGAAGAGAAGAATTTGTAGCTCAGGGAGATTCCCAAATCCTAGCAGGATGAATTCTGTGAGAACTGTTTGATTTCCCCGCTCTGGGTTTGCCATGAGCTGCAACTAGGGGAAGAAAACAAAATTCACAATAGAATCTGAAGAGGATATATTTTAATCAAGTAGTAGTATCTATTTAGTTCCATAAATATTCCATAAGGTCCCTCATCCTGTTGGGTCAGTGAAGAACCAAGACTCTGGAGGCAAATTTCCTACTTAGAACTTTGACATTCCATGATCACCCCTCCTCCTGTCAGTTAAAAGGCCAATATAGTCAGAAAAATCACACTGCTTTATAGATTTATGCCAAAATTGGCAACACCATTTTGTATTAGTCTTTTGTAACTTTGACAAGTTGTCACCATAGATCACCAGGGTGGACTGTGACTCTTACATTGAAAACATATTATTGGCTCAGCTAAAGGCTATCAGGCTCTAGTGGACTCAGCCACTAGAGGGGGACAATGATCTACACTGTGTCAAAGCAGGTTACATTCATCTCCAGCACTTTCCTATTGTTTTTATTCTTTTTCCATTTTTTGACGTTCATCTTAGACCTCTCCAGAGACACACTCCTCACTGAGCTGTTGTATCACAAACTTATGCTGAATTTACACTTCACTCTCCTGACCATTTCCTTTTCCAGCATCACAACCACCTGGGCGTCTCAGTTTACTTTTCCTCAGAAACACTTGCAAATTGAATCTCATTTTGTTTCTGTCTGCAATTGAATCATTCCTCTGCCCTGCTGTGAGTTTGCTTCTGCTCCCTATTAGTGTTGTCTGCCAACGTGATTAACTTTACTTTCTGGGTGAAGGTGAACAGGGGATTATTAACTAGCACAGGACCTACAACCCAATGTGCTAGCTCCCCTAACTGAATGGATCACGCTCTCTGATTATATTGTTTTATCCAACACCACAGCTCCCCCCAACTCAAGGCATCGCTCTCTATTATAGAATCCCTTTGGTTTTGGAAATTGAGTAACTTAGCAAGCCACATAATATTGCCGCTAGCTAAGGCAATCAGATATTTTCAAACAGTACGCTAGTGACTCAAAGTGTCCAATACCTCAAAACACCCAAACATATCACATCAGTGCAACCCCTTCAGCCACTGTTTAATTCTATCAACAATAATGGAACATGTGTGATAAGATTTATTTTTACAACTGCTCAGTCCTCTGTGTTGTTCATTTTCCCCTTGCCTTCTAGACTTAACAATTTTTCTCTTAATATTCAAATAAAATAGGTATAATGAAAACAATGAATAACATACAGAATTAATGTAATTATTGTCACCATTTCAGGGTAATGGCACCTGTTTCCCCCCTCCATGATCCACTTTGGGTGTCCTAGTCAGGTGTCCTGTCTCCAGCCATCACCTGTCTCTGGGCAGGGCCCCTTGTTCCAGTCACGGGGCAGGGGGTTTTAAGACTGCACAGCTCCCTGCCTTGCACTGGGAGATCGCCAGCAAGCCCAGTGCCTAAAGCCCAGTGCCTGTGCATTGCTTTCTCTCCAAGGGCTATGAACAGGCATTGCCAACAGTTATGATGGAAAACCCCTTTAATCGCTGTAGTAAGTATCTACATGACTGTGGCATAGCTGCAGCTGTGCCTCTGCACTGCGTGTAATGCAGACATGCCACTAGTCTCTGGAAAAGCCAGCCTGCACCAGTACACTCAGGGGATAGAACTTCTCCTGAGCTGCTTAATCTCAGTGACTCACCTTCATCACTCCCCCAGGTTTTGGTTCCTGAAGGATTCGGTTTCAATCACTAGATGTCGGTAAATGTCACTATCAGCTGAGACACTGAAACCAACAGAAAAAAAAAATCGGTCACAGTCGGCGTTAGCGCAGCCTTCCCCTGCGCTGTGTGCCCGCGGGGATGGGAGTCACCGGTCCTGCAGCCAGGCAGGGAGCTCTCTGCACCCAACTGTCTTGGGAGTGAGCAGAGCTGCACAGGGCTCCCTGCACAGCCATGGGGCTTGTGACACCCATCCCTGAAGGCACAAGGTGCAGGGCAGGCTGCGGTCTTGGCGGGCCAGAGCTGAGACCCCCAGCCTGGGCTGTGAGGTGGAGGATTAGTCCCTGGCTATGGGGGAGAGCACCCCGCTGCTGGATGGCTTCTGCCCATGGATGGAGCCATTCAACAACAGGGTGGCCTCTGCCACTGCCCAGGGCTCATGGTTCTCCACCTCCTCATGGCCCTGGCCACGGAACTCTGCTCCACTGGGCCAGAGCAGCCGCCTTCCCTGCCCCTTGCATCCTGGTTTCTTGGCCCCTCGGCAGTGCAGGGAGCCACCAGTTTCTCCGCTGTCACTGCTGGGAGACCCCCGCATGGCTGCCATCAGCACTGCCCTAACCCTGATCCCAACCCTGCCCCCCGCTGAATTTCCTGCAGCTGTAAAAATTAAAATAGTTAAAAAATGAAGAAAAAAAAATTAAAAATAATTAGTAGTCAAAATTGCAAAAAAAAAAAAAATTGAATTCTGCCAAGCCTACTCATAGACCATATCTACACCCAGAACACTGAGCTCAGCGGCAAATATCAGCTCTGCTCTACCCACATCATCTCGCTAACCCTCTCCATGCCCCAGCGAGGTCTGTGCCAGAAAGAAAAGTAAAATCTTGTGTGTAGCAGAGGGAAGCAGAGTGAAGGATGTTCCAGTGTTTCATGATCTCGTCTAGGACTTTGGAGATGTTGGTTCAATTCCCTCCTTTGTCATAAATATCCTTGTGTGACTTTCAGGCCAGAATTCCAAAGGCCGGTAGTACCTAAACATGCACACTGGGGCCTGAGTAGATGCAGTACGTAACACCCATCGATTATAAATCCCACTAGGGGTGTCTGCTGTCTTTAGGTGATGAAATACCTCTATAAATCTGTCCCTCTGAGTGTTAGGTCCCTGTCTGTAAAGGAGGGCCAATAGCATCTCATGGGGCAGTGGAAGGATAGCTACATTCAGTTCAGTGAGGTGCCCAGATACCATAATGATGGGGGTCATAAAAGGAGCTAAGATAGCAGTGACCTGAGTGGCCTTTCCTTCTTCCAAATTCTGTTGGGTTGGGAGTTTAAGAGAGATCATTGCCAAATTCCCCTTAGGTTCCGATGGAATTAGTTACCTAGCAAACTTACATGGCTTTAAAAACCTTGAGCTTTAAGAAGCAGGGAGGAAAAGATTGATTTACCTCTATCAGCAGCTGGAGTCTGTCACCTTCTCACTCAGGATTTCAGACACTGTGATCCAGGTTATTCAGTCTATCTTCTCTCCCCACTGCATTCATGTACTTCCATGTTCTCAGTAAATAGAACATCATAGCCGAGATGGGCTACCGTGGCTCTGTTATATCTGGTAATGTGCCCTGTGCCTCATACCCTCCACCAAATGGGGAACATCTTTTCTGATTCATTATCTATTCTTCTGTGGGAAGGTGCAGTCTCCTGAGGCACGTCTGCTGTGGGGAACATAACAGGCAAGGGAAAGTTAGTATTAGGTTTATTTGCAGACAACGTTGGTAGAGTCAAACTTCTAATCTCAAAGGGAAAATCCTGGAGAGAGAAGAAACTTCTAACCCTAAAATCAATCTCTCTCTTCAGTGGGTGAATGTTATGTTGACGGTCAAGCAATAACACCAATTCTAAAAATAAGGTTTACAACTGAGATTTTCAGAGCTGCCTAAATGATTTAGACACTGAGTTCCCATCCAGTTCCCTTAGGCAGCTTTGAAAAATCTAAGCATAGTTAGCTGATCTTGCACTTTCTCTAAACAAACCCCGTGTTGCCCTCAATAGCAAAACACAGAAGTACCCAGACCCCATCCAATATCAGATAATTAGTTCAGGGAACATTTTAAAACATATCTATGTGATTTAGGAGCCTAAATCCCATTTTCAAAAGTGTCTTAGTTACTAAGGCTTAGCACTCTAAGGGTACGTCTACACTACCGGCCGGATTGGTGGGTAGTGATCGATCCCCGAACACACTCCCTGTCAACTCCGGAACTCCACTGCTGCGAGAGGTGGAAGCGGAGTCAACGAGGGAGTGGCGGCCATTGATCCTGTGCCGCGAGGATGCGAAGTAAGTCAATCTAAGTCGATCTAAGATATGTCGACTTCAGCTATCCTATTCTCATAGCTGAAGTTGCATATCTTAGATCGATCTCCCCCCTCAGTGTAGACCAGGCTTAAGAGTCACTGAAAGTCAACAAGACTTTAGCAAACTTAAGCAGTGACATAGAAGCCTAAGTGTTTTGGAAAACGTTACCCAATTTTTGCTCAGATAAAATGCAGGTACAACAAGGTGCTTTACGTATTTAGGTTGGGATTTTCAAAGGGGGGGCGTAAAATGTACACAACTGCCACTGAATTGCTATGAGAGTTTGGCACTTAACTTCCTTAGGCTTCTTGGAAAAGCCCAGACCATGAAAACATGAAGGTCAGACACCTACTTTTTTCCCCAAAACCCTGAAAAGTTTGAGTCACATGGATCTTCAGTGCCACAGCAATTACACAAATTAGATAATCTTGTACAAGAAATATAAATCTCTAGTTGGACTGTTGGAGTGTTTGAAAACCAAGAGAACAGTACTGACTGCATCCTGTAGAGGACCGTGTTATACATTCATACTAGCCAATTCATGGTCCTCAATGGGTACAGTGACTATCATCATTACAATATATTCTACAACTTTAGTCTAAAAAGTTTTTCAGCATGAAGTTTGATATACTGTCACTTCTTGCCCTGGAGGAAATGCTTCTTGTAGCCTTTATGGAAGAGCACAATAATTAGCTCCCTGATCTCTTAATAAGGGCTCCGTCGAATTTATCACTAGTATGAATAATTGTCTCCCAAGCTTTGTTCTTCATAATTCCCAGTGCTGAATATTTGTGACTCACATAATTTCTTTTCTTTTTTAATTAATCTGACAAAAATATAGCAGATATGCATAAAATCTTATTGCTTAACTCTTTGAAGGATATTGGCTGAATGCAGGACTAGAATATATAATATAGGGATAGACCTGAAGCTTCACAAAGCTTGGCTTACATTTTTAATTCAAGTTTTAATTCCAAGTTTATCAATTCTTAATCACTTAAAAATATTGTTTAACTAAAATCATGGTTTTAGTATTTAGTACTGTCCATTTGTCATTCCCCAGAATCAGCTGCCATCTAGAGATCATAACAATGGACACAAAAAACATTGGTGAGAAAATTTTAGCTGTCCCCTAGTGCCCATCATACAGTATAGCTGCCCCATCCCTGCCCCTCAGCCTCTGCTGCCCCTTGTGGCCATTATACAGTATAGCAGAAGTGTCTAAGGAGCCTAAAAGCCTTTTTCTTAAGTGACATAGGAGCCTACGTCTTACTGACGGTTTATGAGATTTGTTTCTAAGTGCATCAGTTCCTTTTGACTATGAGATTTAGGGGCTAGATCCACCAGAGGGCTGTAGTCCACGAAAGCTTATTCTCTAATAAATTTGTTAGTCTCTAAGGTGCCACAAGTACTCCTGTTCTTTTTTCAGAGGGCTTAAGCATTTCAAGTGACAAACACCAAAGTCCAACATTAAAATGGCACTGAGGACCTCCAAAGCCCTGCTCAGCTGCCACCTAACCTCCCACTGAGCCTCAATGGCCGGCACGGAAATCTCCTCGGCATCTGAATTTCCACCATTAAGGTTCCCTACCTGCCTAAGTCTGTGGCAGTTAGCAAGTGCCCTGACACCTTTGTCTAGGTGCAGAGGCTCCTCTCTCATACGTAAGAGGAGAGGAGTCTGTGGGCCTGATGCAATAGACATGCTTGGAGCACACCTAACCCTGCACAACATGGCGAGGGGGAAATGGCAGCCTCCCTTTCAGCCTTTAGCCCCATGGCTAGGGCTCTCAGCCAGGGTGTGGGAGATGCAGGTTGAACTCTCCCTTCTGCCTGCTGAAGAGAAAGTATTAGAACTTGGGTTTCATGCTTTGGAGGTGGGTGCCCTAGCCATTGGGCTATGGGATGTTCAGATAATGGGGCAGGGGGTGCTCACAGTCTCGCCTGCTGAAGCTGTTCCACTGCGTATAAATAACTCCACATGCATTGGGCCAAAGGGAGAGGGGGAATGACTACAGCCCAGTGGTCAGACCCCTGTTCAAACCCTGCTCCATGACATAGGGGGAAAAGAACCCTGCTTTCCCACAGCCAAGGTGATTTCCCCTGCTGGGGGGGGGGGTGTCACAGCTGAGAACCCCATACACCGATGCTCTCCTCCCTCAGGCTGAGATTTAGGCACTTTGTTACCTCATAGGAGCAGGGCTTAGGTCATGTCCCGCTCCTCAGCATTCCCTGTGGGCTCCCTGCTCAGCAAGTTGGCTTTTGTGGATCCCTTTCTTAGGTCCAGATTCTCAAAGGGACTTTGCTCCTACCTTCCACTGAAATCAATGGGAGTTAGGAACCCCAATTCTCCCCATGCAGCCTAAGCACCTAACTTGAGCTGTGGGATCACTGCATGGCAAGGTGCCTAGAGGCTGGGTATTGCCGTGCTTAAGTCCCTTTGTGGATCGAGGGGCAGATTTTTAGAAGTGTTTAGTGTGACCCTAGGACATCTTGATGATAACTGGCAGAGGACACAGAGATCCCATGTGTTCACCAAAAGGGATCATGCACTGTCTAGTGTCGCACTGCTCATCAGAATCATTGTGAGATGTATGCACAGAAAATGTGAGGAATTATGTATATATGCTGGAAATTATGGTCTCTAGGCCTTGTAGTTTCACTCACAGGTAGCACGCCTTGATACAAACTTCTCCAGACATTAGGTGGGAGCCA